GAGCAGTTCCAATAGGGTCTTCGCACCCTTTTGCGTGCTCGGACCCTAATAATAATCACAAGGGTTTCAATAGGGTCCTTGCACCGTTAGTGCTCAGACCCTAACAAGACAAGGTGGTAAAAAAAAAAAAAAGTAATCAAATACTGCATGCCTGCCCAAAAAGGCTGCATGTAAAAGAACTAAAAGTGAAAAAAAAAGAAGAACAAAGCAGAATTTCTACGACTGCGGTGATCTTTTTCATGGCGGTTTCAAACAGGTAAAAATCCCTTTTCTTTCTTTTTTTTTTTGACATGTTCACAGCCACAGCAGGGTGAGTTTCTTTGTGCCTATGTTAATCTATGCTCACAACTCACTCAGCAAAGACTGCATCACATGTTCCCACTTTATATCAAGTGGGATTATGTGACTTTAAAAGGCCTTGGGGGTAAGAGATAATGTGACACAAAAATCTGGAAATACTGCACAGAGGGGGTTTAAATCTGTAAAGCCGCTGGGCAAATAAAGGGTTTCAACATGTACTAGGCCAGAGAAAATCACACAGCAGCCTATGTTTTAAAGAATAGATTTTGCACTTCTGTCAGAAGTATATGATCTGACAAAAGACTTCCCGAGGCTCTTTAATTGAAGACCCAAACCACTGCTACAACTTCAGTGGCTTTAAGGAAATGTTCAGTGCCAGTGTGAGCCACGCCGGAGATTTCCCTGAAAACCTCAGGCGTGCCTCAGAGATGGCTACCGCTTACCTCTGGTGGTCCTGAACGCGAACCTGGAGCAGATTGATCTGTGGGGGGGGACAAACATGGAGGACTGCCTGAGTCCAGGGACACCAGCAGACACAGAGAAGGACTCCAGCTGAGCCAAAGAGTTTACCTGGTGGTCCTAAAGAAGAACTCGGCAGAGGAAGGTACCGCGTGATCCCAACGTAATTTCACATGCAAATGGAGACTCTAGTCTTCACAAATGAGCTGCTCTTTTTCAGCTAAATCCTTGAGGAGAAGCTACAGAATCTCAGAAATTAAACCCTTATCATAGCGCTTCATCTCGAGCAGTCAAAACGTCTCCTCAGCGAGAACTGAGGGAAGAGACGTTGCCCTGACAACAGAATGTGGCTTCAGAAGAAATTATAGCCGTCAAAGTAGGAGAGACAGCATGACAGCAGTAATCATGCTCTGGAGAGACAGGCTGGCTTCAGGAACTGATTTTAAACATACTGCAAGATGATGTTATGCACATTATGTTTCATGTGGACTTTAGTTTGTGAATAAAACCTGCATGAAACGTTGGATAGCTTAGCTTAGCATAAAGACTTCAAACAGGAATCTGGTAACAAAACCTCTAATGTAGTATTCATGCCATATCAATCACGCAATACGTTAAAGTAAATGAGTTGGGGAACCATTCCTTTCCTCATAAATTGTTAAGAAACTACCACTCATCCACATGTTAGCAAACTGCTCTAAATACTTAACACTGCCATAGGTTGATAATATTAACTTTATTTGTGCAGCACTGTTCAAATAAAGTAGAGAAAGTGCTTTAAAATTATACAAATAATGAAGAAAAATTCAAGAAATGATGAAAATTGCAAACACGCAACATAAACAAGATAAAAAAAAAAGTCAAGACGTCACTTCAGTGAAAAGAAAGTAAACTAACAAAACTAAACACTGTAGTTAAGACCCTGTAGCATTAGTTAAGATGCAGTTATACCTGATTCCATCACACATTAGGGATTTTAACCCTATAAAAGTTCTATTAATTACTACTTAACCTGACTATAATACATATTAAGGCTGAAACCCTTCAGAGTTCTTAAACAAGGAGACTAACATAACTAATGACATGTTATGGCTCAGCACTGCAGTACTATGAATTACAGAACTTAACCTAACTAATATAAATATTGTCGCTAAAACCATACAGAGTTATTAATCATGAAGTTAAAAATGACTGATTTACTTTCTTAGTTGTCAGTTTATGTTTTTAAAAGATGTGCTAACAGTTGGGTGAAATAATTCATGAATGTTATCGAGTTTGAATAAAAAAGGTTTTTCTGTTCCTTCTATCATGTCCAAACTACAACCCATAAAACACCAGGTATACATGTTAGTTTAATGTGGATTTTGTTACCTGTTTCCAGCCTTTACGCTAAACAAACCTGCACCTAATTCTCTACAAGAAAGCAAATGAATTCCCAAACGGCAGAGCTATTCGTTTGCTTCATGTTTGCGGGTTCTTTAAATGAGACATCAAATGCTGAGTATCTGTAGGAACATAATGCCTGACTGTTGAGATTCTGCTCGAGTTCCTGGATTAAACAACAACATGCCTGCTTCTGCAGGGGGAGACACACCACCTGTTTCACCTCCTGTCTTCACCTCACTTGACTCGGCAGTGATCCGGCTTCGGTCCAACGCTCCGAGACTCGGGTTTGTGACCCCATCGACACACGGACAGAAAAACTACACAACAACCAAGAGGCTCACGCTCCTCTTTAACAGTTACTCACAACTTCTGCTGCTCATTGATTCGAGTCTGGAGTACATTTATCTGGAAGTCAAGCCACATTCATTTAAATAGGTGCTTTCAGGACAGCCTTGCATTAGAAACACAGTACATTAGAGGAAGCTTTCCTGCGGCTGTGTGCCATCAATCCGCATCATTAGTGCGTAAATCAGTTAAAGGAGTGTATCTGGTATGCTTAAAAACACTTAAGGTAACAACGACCTACAAATCCACTGTTGTGTAAGCAAAGGCTTTAAAGGAATAGTGTGACATCTGGGAGATACATTCCTCTTTTTGCTGAGAGAAAAACACTTTGAGAGTCAGTGAGAAGATATTATAAGAGTCAACAAACTTCCCAAAATGTCAAACTATTTAAATAAAAACATTTCCCAAGTTTCCTCATCAGCTTAATAAACTTTTACAGTGAAAAAAATAGGTTGGTTCTTGTGCAGGTGCATGTAAAGTCTGTGATAATTCATCAGCACATGAACACCGTGAGGCGAAGTACTTACATCATATTTCTGTCTCTTCAGTCTCTCGCTGAGGTCAAACTTCTCAGCCTCCAGTGTCATCAGCCACTGCCACAGCTCGTTGGCCTTCTCCCTGTTAAGCAAAAGCAGAGAGTTTAGAAACTGAAGGGCTTAAACTGTAAAAAAAAGACTCTCTGACACGAGCAATGGGAGGCAGAGCTGCACAAACTAAATCACCTGCATCAGAATGGTAATGTGGATATTGGTATGCCTGCAGAACCGTGAACAGCAGTGCCCTTACTTGACTTTGTCCTCGGCGAGATGGTCGATGTTGAGAGGTTTCTTTCTCTCCGCCAGGATCTTCTTTTTCTTCTCTCTCTCCGTCTGCTTCTTGGCGCCTCGCTTTCCGTCTTGCTGAACGGCAGAATCAAAACAGGAGGTGACAACAAAAAGAGACAGAGAGAAAATGCATTCACGTTATAAACAGACAAACAAATATCTGATAAAACGTCCTGTAACTTTGAAGGTGTCTGTGTGCGTTGACTGACCCTCTGCTGGACGCCACAATACTGCTGAGTCATGTTTGTGAGAGCCTTCTTCTTCTTGGCGTCCTCGTCCAGCTTCTTACGCGCCTCCTCCAGCTCCCTCCTCTCCTTTTCTTCCTGTAGCGCAGATTGTAAAACACGTCACGGCGGAACTTTACAGTTAAAGTGATGCAAGGAGTGGTGAGAACAATAAAGTCGCCGTCCCAAAACCAAAACAATGAGCTTAAAGATGCTATAAAGTTCCAGAGAACTGCACAGTCAGGTGATTTTTCTCTTTGGGTTCATCACCGCCAGTGGCTGCTCTCATTCTATACAGCCGCATGATCGATTGTTGATATAAAATACTGAGGACACCTTTACAGTAATAAAAAAATGCTTACACAGCACACCTATTAGACTGAATAATGTGCGACGGATAGCATAAAGAAAACAAACCTCCAAGTTCATCGCCATCTATGTCGTCTGATTCAAGATTAAAGCTACATGGGAAAATAAGTAGTCTCATATTTCAAAGGCTGGCCTTTTACAGTACATCAAGGCAGAAATAACAAAGAACAGCGAAAGGATGGAGAGTTTGTATTCATTACAGGCTGCAGCCACAGATTCTCCCACATTATTTTTTTATCGTATTTGGGTGTGAGTTATTAGGGATAGGACACTCTGTATTTATTGAATCTGGGGTCACGTCCTGGAAAGGTTGAGACAACCGCAATTAGAAGGAACTCACAGCGAGACGAGCCTGCCTCTCCTTCTCCTGCTCGGCTCGGATCCTCTGCTGTTCGGCCCTCTCAGCACGACGCTTCTCCTAATCATCGGCACACACACACAAACACAGTGTAATTGTTTCCTGGGTGGTGCATCACTCTGGTGATCTGGCAGGCTTTCCTGGAAGACTTACAATCCTGTTAACGAGAGCGATGAGCTCCTCCTCGTCCTTCTTTCTCTGAACGAAGTGGGCCTCGATCAGAGCTTGCAGCTCAGACAGATCCTTCTCGTGACGCTTCCTGTTGATGTCCTGCAGTCAACAGACGCACGGTTGTAGTACAATAACATCCACCCAAAAAGCCTGAATGAAAACCTGGGCTTGGACTTCAGTGTTTTGATACTAAAATAGCCCCCTAAGTTCTAAAAATAAACAATAAACCAGCGGAAGATGAATACAAAACACAGAAAATCCTTTCACCGCATATGAACAAGTACATTAGAGCATTAAAACACAGACTGAGTCACACTGGGCTTTTTAAAAAAAAAAAAAAGTTATTTTTTTGGCCTTTGTTTGATAGTGAAGTGAGAGAGACACAGGAAAGTGGGGGAAGGACGTGTAGGAAAGGGCCATGAGCGGGATTCGAACTCATGACCTCCACATCGGGACTGTAGCCCTGTATATGGGACGCCAGCTCAACCAGGTGAGCTATAGCGGCGCCCACACTGGGCTTTTGAAAATCAAAAAATTCATACATGCGTATATTTGTTCCTGTCTTGCAAAAAGTATACTACTTGGTTTGGTAGTTTGGTGAAAGATCCCTCTTATGTTTAAACACTAAAATAAAGTCTGTTAGGACAAACAAAAAAATAAAAATCCACATCAGCGTCCCCAAACCTCCTAAATTACTACGTTATATTTACTTTATTCAATTAGTTCAAAAACAATCACATATAAACATTGAGTCGTTGCTTTTAGCTTCATAGTTACATGAGTAATATTGTCACCAGGAAATGTTGAAAAATATCAACGTGTTCCTTTAAAACGGCATCAATCACTCACATCAAAGTCGACTTTATCTCCCTCAGGAATCTTCGGCACAGTCATCGCTGGAGCGAACGACCTGAAATAAAACATCTCTGGTTTAGAAAAACTTTCACTACTTTATTACCAGCTGAATAATGTGAATTGATTTCAATTCAAATGAGAGAAAGAAAAAAAATACTTACTTTGGTTTGGGTTTGGATTCATCTGTCACATAAAAGAAGCACATAAGCACAATTAAATTGAGTCGAGCTTTATTCTGATTTATATTATTCATCTGAACACAGTCTACTGTCTATTTCATCTATTTAATACTAAAATATGAATCCTGAAACATATTTTTATTTCAGAATTTACAACCTAAATGTCAAACTGGGCAGCAGCAGCACCCTCTCACATAGTGAATGTTATATTATACACTCTGGTGGATTCTCTACAACAGATTCTGTGTTTTCTGCCACTAGAACACTATCCGGCTCTGTCTGCAGCCATTCTAACACCGTGTCCAGTGGAGTCGTTTTAAAATGAGCAGAATGTGCAACAGAAGGCTGAAATTCAGTGCGCCCGATATAAAAAGAGGGGATTTCTTTATAGTCTCCTAAAAGCTGTTTTTGAAATACAACATAGCCTTTATTTTGGAAGCGATTTTGGAACGTTGTGGCGTGCAGCATGCATTTATTTATTCAACTGAAGACACCAGACGTGCACGTCAATCTACATCAGTGATCACAAAGTGAGGCCTCATCAGCATGTTGGAGCACATTCATCTGCACCTAGAAATGTTAATGCAGCAGCGTGCGGACTACAAAATGAATTCCTTTATTATTTCCAAACCTTTCACTCCCTCAGGTCTGATATTTACTTTATATATTTTGATATGAAAACCCTTCTTGCATGTCAGAGGGAGGAATAAAAAAAAGTCTAAACAGCTTGTGTGTGCTGTCATACTGGGCTGGTCTAAGCACACTGTGGGGGTTTCAAGCCATGAAATCTTGGTTCACCTTCACACAGTTGAGGCAGTTCTTTTTTATTAAAGTGTGTTATCAGAATAAATATGAAGCCATGAGGCAGAAATGAATCCATCCACGAGGAACTGAAGCCATTTCTGACAAACATCCCAGCACTAATGTCCTCCTGTTCTTCCTAAATGACTGCAGAACACAGCAGGGTGCACAAAGCCAGTCACACCGTGCACACACGAGCTTTAAAAGACAAACTGTATATTACCGTCTTCTGCGGTTTCTTTGTGAAGGTAATGCGACGAGGCAGTCGAACAGTGCGAGAAATGAGCAGCTCGTCAATAAACGTTGGACATGGAGGAGAATCATTTATCATTGTGAAGTTGAAGAAAGAGAAAAAGTCATTACCTTCAGCAGGAGCTTCTGAGAGGGCGAGAAAGAAGGAAGATATGATTAGATGTGGTGTCACAGGATTACATTTAGTGAAACTGCTTTTAAAATAAGAAATGCATCATTTTAAAAAATGGTCAAACAAAAGAGATGAAATGTCAATATTTTGTCTGCAAAAGGTGAAACAAAACCAAACAATTATCTGAGTTTTTCTGGCGCGCAAACAGTAATTTTTGTGTGAATAGATGCTCCTGTTTTCACAAAATAGATCTCTGATTTTGGCATAAATTCCTCCAACGCTCGCTCAGCAGGCGGCTCCTTGGCAGCCAAACACAGCGCTGATTAGCAAATACTGAACATGAGAAAGCTAATAATGATTTAATTTTACTGTAACATGCAGGTGGAGACTTATGTTTGAAAAGCAAATTATAGTAAATGTGTGTGTTGTTCATAGAAAACAGGTGGGCACAGCATTTATAACAGCACAAACAATGACTACACACTCAGCTATTTTAATATCACATGAATTCTTTTGACTAAATACGATCATGTTCTATAAAAACACAGATGCAGTTGGGATGGCACATGGAAATATATTGAAAGAGGAGAATTACCGTCCACTTCAGGCGCAGCGTCTTCTATACAACACGAACACAACAAGAATTAAAGACGCCAAGTTCGGTTAATGTTTGCCAAAAACACGACAGACTGCACCACAATAATATACCACAGGAGTGTAAGTAAAACAAAAAACTACAAAAAGGAAAGGGGTATTATTTACAGACACACACACACACAAAATAAAAGTCATACAAACCTTTTCTCTTTCAGTGTTTCCATGACTGAGTGAACAAAATATGGATTAGCGGATCAATGAGACTCTGGCAAACAGCTTGCAGCAGGGATTTGGTCACACTCTGAGCACTGTGATATTGTCTCTTGGGATGCACTGAAAAACAGCGCTGGTGTTTGACATTCATTCTGAACAAAGCTACAAACGGGGAATGATCTTGGATCACAAACTGAGCCTCTGAGCGGTTTGTAGCATGTCAGATATCAAAGCAGAGTCGCAGCACAAAAGGAGGAAAGTTGGGGAACTATAATCATGTTTGTTGTGTGTGTGTGTGTGTGTGTCGTCCTACATGTGACTTTTTAATCTGTCATTAGGCGAAAATGCAGGAGTTTAAAAAGCCTCCAATCCAATTAGAATAAAAGTATAAAAGCAGGAGCACAGAATAATGAACACAATGACTGATGCATTGATATTATTGATAGTAGTGCATCGACATGTGAGCAGCATTTCAGCAGCTAGTTGTAGGTTAAAGTATTCATCTAGCTTTTATTCTACTTATTATTCTTCGACTGTATTTTTATGTTTTGTCTTTTTAATCTATTCTGTATTATTCTATTTGATCACTTTGCCTTTTTCATTTCATTTTATTTTACTTTTTACAGATTCTGTCTCATTATTGGCCCATCAGTCATCTGTGAAGCGCTTTGAACGGCACCAACCTGCATGAGAAGTGATGTACAAATAAAGTTTGGTTGGTTGACTCTTCTCTGGGGCGCTGCAGGATAATTAGTGGAGTACTAAACAAGCAAAAACAATTTGCTTTTTTGGCATTTTTTACCTACATTATTAGATGATTTGATTATTTTACCTCATTACATTTTGAACAAATATTTACAAGAAACCATCTAAAAAGTTGAGAGGGGAAGCTTTATGGTATAGTAGTTTAACAGAACATCTAGAGGACTTCCTAAAATAGTTATTGGTTAGATTAATTCCCAAAGAATACATGCGTGGTGGCGTAAAACAGCGGTCCCCAACCACCGGGCCACGGACCGGTACTGGGCCGTGGGTCATTTGGTACTGAGTTGCGTTTTTTGGGTTTGTTTTTCATTTGTGTGATAGTAAAAGTGAGAAGTTGGCAGGTTTGCTGCATTATTTAGCAAATGTGTGCATATCAGACGGAGTCCTCATCGGCATGTCGAGCATAGAGTAGCTTGAGCAAAACCTGGAGAACCTGCAGAAGAGGGTCTTCTGGATCAGAGAGTGGTCGGTGTGTTCGGTGAAGCCTGGAACCTGGTAGCCCATGAGTGTCCAAACTACTTCAGATGAGGACCTTCTCTTCGCTCCGTAGCCAACATCTCAGTCACACATTCACGTTACAGAAGACAGATCTGCTGAAGCCACTTCTATCTTTTCTTGAAATCACACTTTCAATAATAACTTTGTTGTTTTATCATGCTAACCCCACAGTGCAGTGACCACTACCTTGCACTTGACCAATGCAATGACCGGTTCGTCGAAAATTTTCTCACTTAAAACCGGTCCGTGGTGCAAAAAAGGTTGGGGACCACTGGCATAAAAGGTACAATTTCGCTTCAGTGAATGCCCTTAGTTGTTTTTCACCACTTTTAGAACTGCAAATATCATAGCACTTGTTTCATCAAATGAGCTGAAACACTACAACATACATTCTTTCTCGCGGTGCCAAATGCGTCAAATTTGATCAGAAACAAATCAACTCCTCAGAGCATGACAGGATCTTCAGGAAAACCTAACCTTCTGTCAGAACAGCCTCCGCAGTGCTAAAAATGGGACCGAGATAATTCCAATAAAACCTGACAGTTAAACATGAGCTGACAGATCAGTGTTGACAAATGAAGTGTTAACACTCAAAAGGAAAACACACTCAGCTAGCTTGCTACGGCCTTTTTTTATCACTGACAGCAGACACTGTAACGGCGGCAGACGCGCCGGAAACAAGGCGGCGAAGCACACGTGAAGCCATGCAGAAGCCTTTACCTTCCTCTTGCAGCGTTTCTGCCTCTGAGCAGACATAATCAGGTCAGCTACATCCAGCAACGGAAGCCAGAAGTGACATTTTGCTTTCGAAAAAACAGCGAATGATCAGAAAGTCTTCACTTACCTTCCTCCCTGAAAAGAAAAGAAGCGAAAGAAGTGAACTTTTGGAGGCATCAGTCAAAAAATTTGGCTCAGTGTTTGCATTTAAAACACACGCTTCAAAGATGCAGCGGAGGTACTCACTGTTCCACCTCGACTACTTCTTCATCAGACATCTTGGATCGCGGTTACCTGCATCACAGAGGGAAGCAGCAAAACATCAGAAACTTCCATTCATCACACTGAGCATAATGCATTTTAATCAATTCCTTATTTTTTTTTGGGACAACAAAACAACTGTTTAAATGACAAACTCACACTCACACAGATAACCAAAGTCATTTCTCTCAGGCTCAACAGGATTGCTCACGTTTATATTTTAACGTTCTCTTTGCTGTGATTGGTAAAATTGTTTGTCTTCTTGATAGCTCCCATTTTATCTTATTGACTGTAATGTTTGTACAAGCCCTTGAGATTACTTCCTCTCGGACAGATGGTTTGTGTCTCTATTCTTTCAGTACTTTTATTATTTGCGCAAACAACTAAAAAAAAAAAAAAACCCACAAAGAAACTTGGCTTCGTGCTGTGAGATTGGAGGAATTGCAGAATCTGAAATGATTCCACCATGGGCACTGCAGGCGGAGGCCCAGGGCTTTAAACAGCTCCAGGCCTAATCCTCAGCCATTTCCTCTTGGCACTGATCAAGGCTGCAGGCAGCCGACTGGAGTCTGAACAGCAGTGAAACTACCCCGGTCTGCACGAATTCTTCACGGACGCACTGATGCATCTGAAGCCATGCATGTCGTATTGGCTTTGATATGTACACTCGTAAACAATTTTCCAGGTGCTCAGGAGGCTCTGAAGTGGTGCGCGGCAAGAAAAGTCCGTCATGACGAATCTGATTCGCTCTGATGTTCACGCTTAACATTTCATTTCTCTTTTAAAGGCAGTTTCATTTCATTTCAGTGCAAACAGTGTTTACTCCATGTGCTAAAGGGACATTCCTCTTTATTTGCATGTTAATTCAGAAATACTTCATCTGTTGTCCTCTGAAAGAAGCTCTCTGAAGTCTGAGAAACTGCACCGGACAAAGTCATGGTAATGTCGTGTTGTCTCAGATGCAAAACCTTTAACAGAAAGACCATTTTACTAAACTGTAGCTCGGAGTTTTGAAAGAAGTTGTTGTTTACCAGGCAAGAAGGGTTCAGAGACGTCATATGGGAAATGTAGGGTGTAGCGTGTTTTGAAGGTTGATCCGGATAATTGGATCAAAAGTCAGGACATCTCGGACCATGCTCTTTTAATTTTCATCATTCCTTCCTCAAACAAATAACCTGTCTGGTAACACTTATTTTCTTTCTTGCTTAAAGTTAAATGAGGATACCACTGTTTTATCTGGAGTCAACGCAAAGAAATATGTCCTCACAACGTCTGACTGATATTTTTTTTCGTTCTTGCGTTGATTAACCCAAAATTACACCATTTATTAGAAACAGAAGCCATGAAAAAAAGGAAGAATTGTTGGATTCTAAACTTTCTGGCGGCACTTGAACTAATCATCTGTGACATGATGTTCTATTGACAAAATGATCCTAATCTAAGCTCAAAATGATGATACTTCATCTAAATCACTTTATAATACATGTCTTCATTTAAATCTGAGACAAAGTAAAGTTTCTAATAACCGCATACAAGTTCGCAGCCTCACACTCCCCACATGCTTGGCTCCAATAGAGAGCTTTCAAAATAACAGAACATGTTGGAGATAG